TTTCAAGGAGCTGGAATTCAATATGGAAGACAGAAGATAATAAGTTCTTATGCATTCACTATCCAGAACAAATACTAAAAACATTTTATTACATTGAATAGGAATCTTCTTTTCTCTTTTTATTTTTTATTTGTTCTTTTTAGATATACCTGACAGTAGAGTATAATTTGACATATTATATATACATGGAGTATAATTATTCTAATTGGAATCCCATTCTTGTGACTGTTAAGTGGAGTATCACTGATTGTATGTAAAGTATATATAAAATATATATATTTCCTATGTTCATATACATATGAACATAGGAAATATATATATATATATGAACATAGGAAAGTTGTGTTTGATTAATTATACCTGTCTCCTATTTCCATTCCTCCTCCCTTCCCTTCAGTCCTCTTAGTCTAATCCAAGGAACTCCCCCACTCCTTTGTTATGCATTAGCGTCCACATATCAATAGAAGATTTAGCCTTTGGTTTGGGGGATTGGCTTATTTCACTTAGCATGATAGTCTCCAGTTCCATTCATTTACTGGAAAATGCCATAATTTCATTCTTCTTTATGGCTGAGTAATATTCCATTGTGTACATAGACCACATTTTCTTTATCCACTCATCTGTTGAAAGGCACATAGTTTGGCACAATAGCTTGGCTATTGTTAATTAAGGTGCTATGAACATTACATGGTCACTATAGTATGCTGATTTTAAGCCCTTGGGCTTAAGCTGAGGAGTGTGATAACTGGGTCAAATGGTGGTTCCATTTCAAGTTTTCAAAGGAATATCCATAGTACTTTCAAGAGAGTTGCCACCAATTTGTGGTCCAACCAGCAATGTAAGAGTGAACCTTTTCCCCAAATCCTTGCCAATATTTATTGTTCCTTGTATTCTTAATAATTGCCATTCTGACTGGGGTGAGATAGTATCTCAGTGTAATTTTAATTAGCATTTCTCTAACTGTTAGAAATGTTCAAAAAACATTTTTTCATATATTTGTTGACCATTTGTATTTCTTCTATGAAGTTCCTGTTCAATTCCTTTGCCCAATTATTTGGTTTTTGCTGTTTTTTGTTTTTATTGTACCCCATGGTGATTAATGCTCTATCCAAGGTGCAGATGGCAAATATTTTCTCCCATTCTTAAGACTCTTTCTTCATGTTCTTTGTTATTTCCTTTGCTTTGAAGAAGTTTTTTAGTTTGATACTAACCCATTTATTGATTCTTGACTTTGTATCTTGTGCTTTAGGAGTCTAGCTAAGGAAGTCAGTTCGTAAGCCCACATTGTAGAGAGTTGGGTCTACATTTTTATCTAGTTGGTGCAGGGTCTCTGGTCTTATCCCTAGGTCCTTGATTGTCTTTGAGTTTAGTTTTGTGCATTGTGAATGATAGGAGTTAAATTTCATTCTGCTACATATCAAACATCTATATATATGTATATAATATTTTTAGCAATGAATATTCTGTATTTGTTCATTCATTATTCTTTTGATGAAGATTTAGGCTCACTCCAATTTTTTTTTTTTTTTTTTTTGGGCAGGGGGGAATAACAGGTGTTGAATTCAGGGCCACTCAGCCACTGAGCCGCATCCCCAGCCCTATTTTGTATTTTATTTAGAAATAATGTCTCACTGAGTTACTCAGTACCTTGCTGTTGCTGAGGCTGGCTTTGAACTTGTGATCCTCCTGCCTCAGCCTTCTGAGTCTGGAATTACATGCTGATGCCACCATGCCCAGCTCTCTCCAAACTTTTTATATTATGACAAACAATGGTTTATGAACTTCCTTTCACTCTTTCTAGAACACATATAAGAATGCTCTTCAGTATTTAAGTAAGGATGGAATTGCTGAAAGATGAGATATTGCATATAACCCTTATACCCACATTAAATTCTCAAATTTATATATTAATATCTCCATTTTATAGATAATTAAACTAAAATTTACAGAGTAAAGTTAATAACATCAAAGTAGTGATTGATACCCAAACTACTTTTCCCCAATGATGCTATACCTCAAACACATTATAAGGTGTGTTTTATGTGAATATGATAGCTCTAGAAGCTGAATTCCTGTAGGTCCTTTGAACTTCTGAGTTCCAGAAGTCACTTTGTTCTCTCTACTTAGATCTTGAACAATTTAATTTGGATTCTAGTTGTGGATGGTGAACATTATCAAAGGAGATATTAGTAAACTACAATATAGAAATGATACTCGAGGTAAGGAGCTAAGGAAGAACAGATAAAGGGAGACCTCATCTAATCACTCTCTTCCTCCGTGGAACTAAAATAAGGACTTCTATACCAGACAAACACAGGACAGAACCCAGCAGAGCAAACATAAAATGATTAAAAAAATTGTTATATATATATATGAAAGTTTCATTGTGCGGTGGGGAGACCACTGATCTTAGTACCTGGTTAATATGACTAGTTAGCTAGAATAGGAAGTTATTAGAAGAAAGTCTATTTGTAAACCACAGCCAGAGCAAGTTGATAACCTCGTTGTCTTTTTGCTTGGTTCTAAGTTGGGAAGATCAGAGTGTAGAACACAAATATCTCAAATCTGTTTGCGTCTTAGGGTTAGCAGCAAGACACTGTAGAGTTACATCCTCATATTTGCCTAGAATTTTTCATCTCATAGGCTCATATAATTACATATATTTACTGCTAAATTTCTATGAAATTTATTTTGTTTATTCTTCCTAATCTTCCTTCCTAAAGGGCTAGATGTTTTTTTCTCGTGAGTTTTATCCTTACTCGAATCTTATGTGAACTTTAAACATGAAAAGATATTTTGTCTTGATTGTATTAATAAGGAAACCAAGCACCATTAAACTGAGGATTGACTTGTTCAAGGCTACAGAATTAGATTTCCTCAATGAAAACTCTAATAATTTAGGTTCCTTATGCCTCTACAGGAAAAGAACAGTGACCAGTTTTCATCACTAGACCCACTGCAAAAAGCATAAGCTGTTAAGAGTTTTTATTTAATTTATTTTGAATAGGAAAATGGATATTTAGTATTAAAGGAGATAAAGTTTTCCCCATTATAGAAACAAGCATATAAACTAACATTTAGTTTTAGGCCACAGCTACTAAATTACAACATAAAGAATTTATTTGCTCATATTATTTCCATCATACTTTTCAGTATTAAATGTTCCAAACAATCCCAGAGAAGTAGCAATTGAATTGCAGGAGTTCAAATTAAGTCTTTTGTATGGCCCTAATCTTGTGGAGCCTCTTGTTTCTTTTGTTCTAGCATCTTCTACAAAGATGTATTAGCATTTCAATCTGCCTTTACTTTCTAACACTATCCTGAATTTCAATTGTGTACAAAGCTTAGAACAAACAGTCCAAAGAAAATAGCTGTTAACAGTAGCATTCTATATCAAAGGTTTACTTTATAGACTACATGAAAAGAATTATTTATTCCAAATTTTATGATAGTAAACCCTTATTGAATAATTAATATTACAAATAAACTACTTCAAGTCATTATAGTTTTACATTTCTGCAACTAAGAAAAAATTGCTGAAAAGCTTCATGGTGTATTATTTTCTCAGATTAAAAAATATATTACAAAATTATGATGTTCTGTCATCTATTCCATCATTTGTATATTTAATGTAGCATCAACATTCAGGTTATTATTGGATTTTTTAAAAGGTACTTTGAAAGGAGAAACCAGAGGCATGATAATTTTTGCCTCTCAAAGATACATACAAATATGAAAGGTGATTAAAATTAAGAAACAATATAATGTCTACATATCTATATACAAATATGTAACATTTTCTTCTGTAATAATTTTTGTATTTCAGATTTTCAAGGTTTTTTTATGGGAAAAAGTCAGGGCTTTCTTTTTGGAACTGTTGTGTCATACTTGATGATTTGCAATAGTTGGTGAAATTATCCAAAGGAAAAAAAAAATCTTGTAAAGTGAATGAAAACATCTGAAACCTACTGAGTTTTTAAACCCAGATCATTTTTAACTATTAATAACGACACATGATTGATAGCCAGGGAAAGCCTCAATATGTTATATTGACACTATAGTACCACTTAAGATCCTTATCAGTGAAAATAACTTTATAAATTACAGTACATTTTCAGCAAACTCAGTACTTAATACAATGAAAAAATTCTCATATTAGAAGGGCCCATCTCCCTATCCAGCTAAAAAATATTTCCTCCTTACCTCTAGAGGGGTTAAGGTAAAATATATTTTTAAAAATATGTATATTGGTGATTTCAGCTGGTGATCACATGAGGAACTATAGCTTTAGAAGGGTCATTTGGCCTATATTGTCTCATATGCAGCAAGTCATATAAAATTCTTCAGTGAGGGATGTCCTTCATGTACCAAGACTTGAAAATAGCCTTGGTCACCAGAGACTGTTAATTGTGGCTACAGTAAACCCAAACACACAAACTCTGAAGGAATCCTTATCTGCCATTGGCTTTTACATCCCTTCCCCATATATTTCTTAGTAGCATCCCTAAAATTTACTACCCTACTCTGGATATCATCTTTCCTGTTGCCCCATCACAAATTTATTATTGTTCTTTGTCTAAAATGTATATATTCACCATTCGTAGGTCATTCATTCCAACATTACTCTCTTGTGAAGATCCTCACGTACTATGTAGATGTAAACTGTCATGTGTAACTAATTAAAACAAATTTTTTAAAAAAGAATACAAACAACCAACAACAACAACAACAAAACTCACAAAACTTATGTGACTTTCTCTTGTTAATCAGGTTCCTAGACCAAACCAGAAAGCCCACATAAGAACTAAGAGAGAATAAGAGGGCATTTTTCTCCCTACCCTTCAAATAGAGATAATAGATTCAAGGAAATTCATCAGTTCCTCATTTTTATTGCTAATCTATATATTTTTTCCATGTTCTAAATCAAAGGTATATTATACATGAATAGGTTTGTCACATTGAAAGCTGCAGTGATTAACTATTAAAAACATAGTACTTACCTACTGGTTCCTTTTGATTCTGAAAGAGAATCTTGCTATTACTGCCATCCATATTTGCCATGTTAATTGTATTTCCATCTGTCCAGTAGAGTTTCCTTAATTAAAAACAGATGTGGATTAAAAATATTAGATGTTGACCTACTTGATAAATATTAAAGTACAAAGAAAATACCATAATGTAGTCTTGGTTTGGGGTTAATTTTTTATTAAAGGTGTAAAATTAACAAGCCACTTGCTGCCTGGGAAAAAAGCACTACTCTTGTTTTTTCCTGTCACTGAAGGAGAATTATATCATTCTCCTTCTCCTACTGCATTCAAAACTGAATACTTAATTATGACTGCAGTAAATTTCATTCATTTTAAGTAATTCATCAAAATTGAATCCTCTTGGCTATAAAAAAGTCAGACACTATAGATGGGAATAAATTCATTTCAATCATTCTGTTGTAATTGGAGAAAAACTCTTCCAGCCCTATGTAGGCTCCCTCAAGTGTATATGATAACTGACCAGAATATTGGAGAATCTGATCTACTTACAAGTGAGTATGTTATTAAAAATTGGCATTCAAAATGAAATCAACAACATTTCTCACATCTCTTTTTATTCTGACTTGTCACTCCATAGAAATATAATTAATGATATCTTACAATATGTATATATAAATCATATTTTTGCAGTTAGAAATCTCTAACTGGGGATCTCTCACAATTTCCATATGCACATTTGCTTTTTTGATGCTATACCTGATACACACACACACACACACACACACACACACACACATAGTGATAACAATCTTAAACAGTGGCTTTTCCATAAAATCAGGACAAAAGTGTGGAATTTTGAAAAAACTTAAAAAAAAATAATCATACTTTACCCCCTCACTGGGTGAGCTGCAAGACACTGTGGCTTATCGATTCCGTGGATAATTGAGGTTTTCAAAGAGCCATCTAGCCGTGCCACATTAATTTGTGTTTCATCAAATTCTGAGCTAATCCAGTATAAATTACGGGATACCCAATCCACTGCTAGCCCTCTGATACTCTGAATATCTGTAAAAGAGGAAAAGGAAAATTAAAAAAGAATGAAGTTTCTCATTCTCTTGGCTCTTCAAATAAGTTATTTTCTAAGGGAAAATTTAATTTACACCTTAATTTGTTTGCTAAAATTGTACAAGATTGTAATCTCATTCCCTTATCAACCCTTCTTAAAGCATGAATAATCATTAATGTCTTTCTGCAGAGGCATTTGAAAACCTGAAGCAACAATTAGCATTGAAATTACACTAACAGTCAATGATTCACAAGTAAACACTTTGGAGCAGACTCAGGCACAAGTCTTATGGGCCAAGGTGACCAAAATTTAAATTAGAGTAATAGCTTCTCCAGTTGGTAGCACAGAGTTCTAGTTAGGAGAAAGTACTCACTGGCCATCAACAAATGGGCTATTTTATGTTTTAAGTGCCAATTTGTTACTGCAATGAAATAAGAGAATTCAACTTTCCTAAAAATCACCAGAGTTGAACATCTTTCAAAACGGATAATTAACAGGAATCAAATGAGATACGAGAGAACAAACTAAAATCCTGTTAACATTCCTCCAGCGTGGGATGCTATAGAAATTACTGAAATCTAATTAAGTTTGAATACAGTACAGCCCGTATAAATATTTGGGCTGCAATTGCTTGATTATTAAATCAGGCATCTTTGAAAACAATGATGAGATTTAGTCTTAAATGTAATTACCCATTTTAACTAAGTGTTAACATGATGAAGATTAGAGAGTCTTTAAAAAAAAAAATTAGTCCTTAATCTGGAGCAACTGGCTACTTTGGTTTCTATTTTAGTTAAAAAGTTTTAATGTTTTCTCGAGCGTAAGAAGTTCATTGTACTTCTAGAGAGTTTTAAATCACTGATTCTTAAATTTACAACATACTTGGAGACTGTGAAAAGAAAGATCCTTATTCAGTACTTCTAGAGAAAGGCGCAGATTCCTCACTGTCACCTGTCTCCCAGGTACTACTCCTGATTCCAGGGAGCGATTCTAGTCAAAGCCACAGAACACTTAGAACTTGGCTCCAATGGAATTACTACAGCTTTCTTCTCTTTTCAAAACAAGCCTTAACTAAATTTTTTTTCATGTGAAATCGAAACATCAAAATTTATAAAATTTGCCGACTACTTCAAAATTACTGGAAACCCAGGGGTTCTAGACCTGCTGTAAGATACGGCATTGGAATGATCAGATTTCGCTGCATGTTTACCTTCTCAAATCTCAACTGAGTCTGCTTTGGTGTTCAAAAAAATGAATCTGACATAACTTTCCTATCTGTGAATGTACATGAATGAATGTACCAGAGTAAATCTCACCATCATGTGCATCCACAAGACTGGGGTCCTAATTAGAGTAAGAAATATTCCATACTGCATAATTATATCAAAATGGACTCTACTGCCATGTATAACTAAAAAGAATCAATTAAAAAGTAAAAACCTTTCATTATTTATAAATAACTTTGAATCGTGATGCCCTTATAAAATATTCTCCATGCTTCCAGTTCTCAAATCAACAACCTGGTCATTTTGCAAGGTCACTTTTATCATTAATTTACTGGTAAACTGTTGTATTTTGAACGCTGAACTTCCTTCAACTCCACACTTCAAATTTATTATTGTTATTAGTTATCCTCATCTAGTTTGTGTATTCTTTTATTTTTTTTCTTCCTTTCCTTTTTTATTTCCTTCCTTCCATCTTTCCTTCCTTCCTTCCTTTCTTTCATTCTTTTTACCACAGTAATACACCACCCTTTTAAAGTTAAACTTGCTAAGACTTATTTGCCTCACTTGGGATCTTTAAACATCTTGCTCCATCAACCTCTGGAATATTGGTTGCTAAGGAATAACAACCTTAGTAGTGTGATTTAAGTTTTTGTTCCAGGTATGGTGCCAATTTTTTTTTAATCACTGATCAAATGAATATTTTTCAGCCTCTTTTTGCATATGTAAAAGGAAGCAAATTATACACAGTAAATAAGATTATTGTGAATACTGGGTGATATGTTTTTATGCAGTTCATTTTAGTGCAAAGGGTACTTTACCAATACAATCACTTAATTCTTTCTGTATTTTGTCCTATATTTCTTGGTATTGGTAAAGCAATAAATAAATAAATAAATAATGAGTTTTTACTCTTCTACAATACATGTTCTCCAAAGAAGTTTTTGACTGTCTCTACTGCTCAAGATTATTTCATTCATCTACAGAATATGTTCTACTATTAAATTGTAAAACATAGCCAAATGTAAGCTATTGATATGTATTTGTACTTGTTAATTCTGTTTCATATTTTCTCAAATCTATTTATATCTTTAATTTTGAAGTACATCTAGTCTTTTCCTCTTCTCAGCAACAGATTTAGTTCCTTTTGAGTTTTTGTTTTTTTCTTTTTTTTTTTTCCTGACTAGAAAGCTCTGGATTACAACCTTCATTTGCTCCAAAGTATCTAATATCTTCCAACCACTCAAAAAGTGCTGTCTAAATTTCTTAGTTTGTCTTTCTATGTGGTGTGAATATAACCACTTTCCCAAACCATTTGTCACCAATTACCTACACAGCATTGTACTGGTATGTTTTCAGATCTAGACTTGGTCTAGACCTTTACAAACCATAGGGGAACTATTTAAATTTCGTACCCTAATCCATCTCTACTTTCTTAAGTCTTATGCAAAATAGGTCAGTTGATAGGCAAATATCACCCTTTCAGCCATTAAACTTGATCATTTTCTCCTGTATATCTCAGATAGAAAGATTTGTACCATCTACCTAATGCAACATGACTATCTGGTGGATAACTTTCGAGCTAATGTAATTGTTCTTTAGTTTAAATATTATCATTTTACATATGATTTGTGTGTGTGTGGGGGGGGGCGGAGTACTGGGGTTGAATCCAGGGGTGCTTAACCACTGAAACACAGGCCCAGTGGTTTTTATTTTTTATTGTGAGGCACAGTCTAAATTTTTAGGGCTTCACTACATAGCTGAGGCTTGCTTTGAATTTGTAAAACTCCTCCCGCAGTCTCCTGAGCTGCTGGGATTGCAGGTGTGTACCACTGTGCCTGGCTACATATGATTTTTGAGGCTTAGCTGCTTGCTAATTTATCTTGATAGCTTCTCATCCCAAATGTAGACAACACTGCCTTCAATATAACTATTTTTAATGAATTGATGAACAATTTATAACATATGTAATTTAGAATGTATATATGAACTGAGCTAGAAAAATAAAATACAAGTCCTCAAGTCTATGTTGAAGAGAACTTATGTAAAAACATACCAAAGCAATCTCAATTCTAATTTACTATCCTTAATATATATATATATATATATATATATATATATATATATATACCCATCAGATTGAAGTTTCTTATTATCAGTTCAATGGCTAAAATAAAATTTGATCTTCTTTTTTTCACAATACAATGACCATGTATAATTGTGTAAGAATGCCCTGATATGTGCAACAAGAGGCCCAGAAGGAAAAAGATAAAAATAATTATATGTTTGATGATATTTTTTCTGTCCTTGATCAAAATATTGAAATAATAAATTATGACTCTTAACTTCTTACTTCAAGTAAGTCAGACCAATATCTGAACAAGTTTTTAGAAAGTTCAATTTTCTATTTCTGGGATTTTCACTTCTTGAACTAACATAGATTATATATTCTGAAAAGTCCTTCATTGCTACAAATTATTTGAAAAATGATGAATTTTAACTTTCAAATGCATGTCAAAAATCTTAAATCAGACAAGAGAATCTCTAGGTGCTATCAACACATACTCACAGTTTAGCTTAAATGTCAAATGAAAGCAAATGGAAGCAAAATCTGTACTGAAAATCTAGACATTCATCTATTATTAGTTGCTTGAAGTAAAAGATCAGTCCTTCAACTCAAAAAACTGGAGGTTACCCAAGAATGATCCCAGGATATTGGAAGGGAAATATATCTTGAATAATAGGCAAGTAGCATGCAGGAACATTGGCCAGGTTAAAAAGAAGAGCAATTGAAATCTACCCACACCAACCTGCATAGGACCCAGGCTCACAGTAGGCCAGGGTTCATCCCACCACTAGCAGATACCCTCCAGAGCTCAGGCTCCAACACAGGACTACATCTTTAGGCCAGAGACCACCAAGGATAGTAAATTAGAATCCGCCCACATTGACATATACCTAGACCCATGCCTACTGTAGGTCTGAATTCACCACCACCTGGGAGCCCAAGCCTAACCCACTTCCATCTTGGGACATTACAGACATCACCAAAGCCTTCCCCAGGCAGTAGCCCCTACCTTTTTGACAACAGACAGTGCCTAGAAGCAACTGCATCTTAGAGAAGGTATCCCAAAGACAGTGTAAGGCCCACCCTTTCAACCCCATCTCTGTAAGAAATTGCATCCACCTTAGGGTACCTCCACTACTATCACAAATTACCTCAACTATTGCTGCTATCACCTTTAGTTGCAGTAGCATACATTGAGGGACACCAGAAGGGTCTGGAAGCCCAACATCAAGGTGAGGTACAGACAATCTGCATGGGTACTAAGAGAATATAGGGTAGAAACTAATATCTCAGATCCATACTGCAATAAAGCAAGACACTTAGACAACATGAAAAAACAAGGGAAGAAAGTTTTCCAAACAAACAAGGATACTACAATAACAGAATCCATGGACATCATAGTTGATGAAATGTCACAGAAGGAATTCTGAAGGTTCATAATTAAAATGATCTCTGAATTAAAGAATGACCTAAATGAACAAATACAGGCAAAAATTGATCACTCCAACAAAGAGATAAGAGAGCAAACACAAGTAGCAAAACATTATATAAATAAAGAGACAAAGACACTGGAAAAAAAAACAGTCAGAAATCCTTGAAATGAAGGATACAATAAAAAAAAAAAAAACCCTCAAAAGAAAGCATAACCAACAGACTAGATCACTTGGAAGAAAGAATGTCAGAATGTCAAATAATGAAGACAAAGTAT